CTAAATCATGCTGCTTCACGGCAAGAGAATGAAAGTACTGTTCTACACCTAATCTAATACATATATCACACCATTGATTTACATCTTGACCAAAATATTGTTCTTTTCAGGAGTTATAAAGGACTGTTAAAATGCACTGACGTTGCAGTTCTGAATCTTTCAATCAATTAACCCCTCAAATTCAAATAAGTTGGGGTCGACTATGTGAATCCTTTATATCCATTTCTCTCTATTTTATTTCACAGGATTCATCATGGTTATTAATTAGTTAGTTATCTTTAGACCAACATATTGCAATCACCCCCCTTCCTCTGGGCTCGAGGGTTGCAAAGCTCACGAACGCGAGTTTGGTGCAATTTCAAATCTTTAGCAAAATTAGATAAAGCAAATAATAACACCATTAGAATTACATCTTTAAAATAATTGCAAAAGAGTAATCATTCATGTTGTGATTATTTAACATTGAAAAATATATGCTTATAACTTCCAGTTTCATAGTTTACTAAGAGAGTTTTCCTTGTTAACCATGATTGACTTTTTGTCACAGCATAATCTAGATATGCACAAAAACTACATTATTTTAATTGAGCCTTGACTAAACTTGTTTTCTGAGTACTGGATTAAGGTTTTCACGAAATCTTTATTGGTTATCTGTATTTGGGATTTTACCCACATTTCTGGCGATTTTAACTGTTGAAATTTTCTTTCGGCTGATCTGACATCTAACTTGATATGGTGAGATGTTTCTCTTCATTTTAGTTCTTGCAGACTTGGTATCAGATGCAGTTATGCTGAAGCTGTTAGAGAGGATCCTAGCTCGGGTGCAATTGATGTTGTCGCGGATGTGAAATCTGAACGAGTATTAACATTTTCTTTTTCTCCTGTCTAGATCAAAGACCATTTACAACTGTCTCAATTTCAGCTACTAGATGTCATTCCCTTTCTTTTTTGACAGATTGTAGTTATAGGAGGCAGCGGCTTTGTTGGCTCTGCGATATGCAGGGCTGCAGTATCTAAGGGTATAGAGGCCATAAGTCTGAGCAGGTGTGCTGGTAGATCTTAAGCATTTTCTGTTGATTCATACAATTGCTTTATCCTCTTATTTTGTTGTTATCTGTTGTGGGTTCTTAATTTGTAGTATTAACTACACAGATCGGGGCGTCCTTCCTACTCAGACCCATGGGTAGATCAAGTCACTTGGATGGCAGGCAGGTTCATTTCTTGATCATATCTTAAGTAGGATGATAATGAGTGCAAGTGAAAAATTTACATTGGTGAACACTTTGCGAAAGTTAGGTCCTCGGCTGATGAAAGCCATAGTAGTTTATTTCTTCCTGATTAGTAAGTACCTACTGAAGATAATGGAAGACTCTTGCTACACTTAATAAGGAAAGAATTAATCTAGTGAAGCTCCTCATCAGTTTGCAAGTCCAAAAGTGGGAAGCCATGTGGCATCCTGCTGCTTTACCTCATCTCATGAAAGTGACATGTACCGGAGTACTCAGTGTTTATGTTTAATCCAATCAACCTGGAAAGGAGATTTTGTCTGTTTTGATTGTGGTGTAATTACTGCTTTTGGCTAAAATCCTTTGCCATGTCAATGGAATAGTTTTCACCCAATTCAGATTATTCATATGATCTTCGTATCCTGTAGGAGACGTTTTCTATGCAAACTGGGATGAAGTACTTGTTGGTGCTACCGCAGTTATTTCAACTTTGGGAGGTTTTGGTTCCGATGAACAAATGCAGAGGATCAATGGTGAAGCTAACATTGTGGCTGTGAATGCTGCTAAAGATTATGGTGAGTAGCTTTTGATTTATTCCTATGAAAAAATTCATAAAACCGAAGATCTTAAAAAGATACGCTGTGTGTTTTATTATGTCAAGTGAGAACGCTTTTGGTTGATAATTTTTCCTAGGCTCATCTTCTCATTTCCATTTGGCTTTAACTTTCAAAATGTCTAATGAATCAGATAGGATGCATCACTTTGCTGAAGTTTAAGGCATGGTTGGATCCACTATTTACTTTAGCTCAGAGCTAAAGATTGCTAGAGAAAACTGATGCTAAAAATTTGACCTGTTTCTTTAGCATTAGGGAGCAGAAAATCCCGCTCTCGCGTCACTTTTTGATGTAACAGTTTCCGCTCTAAGTTGTTGACAATTACAAGTTGAAGCCATCCTTGATTGAAATAAATTGCTTGAGTTTACTAGCTTTTTGGTGTAAATTGTAGGATACGTATGCTATGACAAATTTTCAGTCTCCGCAGGCATAGCCTGCCTTATACATGATTTTGTATTTCTCTTGCACTGTCTTGGTGCTGGTTTGTCAATTAATAAAACTTACCTTATCTATCAAATGACTATTACTTTGCCTTGATCTTAAGCTAGTTGGGGTTGGCTATATGAGACCTCCCTATTCAATACTTTTGGATAATCTAACATAGAGGTTCTCTATATTTTGTGTTGATGTACAAATGTCTAAAAAGATTGAAAAGACTCCCAGCAAAAATTGGACCTAACGTAAGCTTATCAACATGACTAAGCATCAGTCCCTACTACTACTAGTTAGTATCTCCTATATTGATCTTATGCTTCCATCTTGCTCTATTTCTCACTAAGTCTACATTGATTTCAAGAGGTTGTAGGTCTTCTGAGACAGCTTTTTTCATGTGATTTTAGGTCTTCTTTGTCCCCTGTTAACACCTTCAATGATTATGTTTCACATGTATGACGATGCATTTGGTTACATAAAACATGACCAAACCAAATAGACCTTTTCTGTAAATATTTCAAATTTTTTCTAATCTTATATAACTGCACACTGATGCCGATGTAGAGGGGGAAAAAAGGGCAACATGAGTTTCGCAAAAATAAGAATGTCAAAAGAGGAAAAGAAAGTAGGGTTTTTTATGATGTCTCTGCAATTGAGTCTGCTGCTATTACATAGAGAGGTTAAGTTGGAAATCTTTTTGATCCTTTGAGTTTTGAGTTTCTTTCGTACTCTTACATTGATATATATCAATCTTTCATAATCGATTCACCTATGTTGGTGCTAATCCCAAAGAAATCTTTGAAAAAATAAAGCTATTTTACTTCGATTAGTTGTCCCTTTTGAGAAGCATCTAGAGGTTGATTACTCTGGTATTTCGTGATATGGACTGACAGAAGGGCATTGTTTAGAGTCCTTATCGGAAAGCAAATTCATGTAATTGAGATACGTAAATTCCTGTTAGTGCCTTAAGAGACTTAGGGTGGATGTGAAAGAAGTAATCTTAAGGTAAATGGTCCCATCACCTAGGGTCTGGGATGGGGTTATTATCATCTCTCATACTCAAGGTTTTGCCACTTCATCGCTTTGGCCCTTCATCTTACACCTAATTTTGTGTGTATAATTTGTTAATCGTTTTGCCATTAAAAGTATGGTGCCTCTTTGATGTGTTCAGGAGCAACTTTTATGGCACATGTAACTAATCTTTTTGCTCAGTACATCATCCTTCAAATTGTTTCCTTATTTCTCCATATCATTCATGCCAAATCTAGGGTTTATAGTTGTTCAATGTGAATTACCTGAAAACTTTTGTTGTTCTTGCAGGGATTCCTAAGTTCATATTGATTTCTGTACATGATTACAATCTACCATCATTCCTCCTTCAATCAAGCTACTTCACAGGGAAAAGGAAAGCAGAATCAGAAGTTCTTTCCAAATACCCAAACTCAGGTACTCGATAAGATTTGTCATTGGTGACACTATGGCAGCCTGAAGCTTACATTCTAAAAGTTGTTCTAAATTGCCGAAACCAAACCTAGTGTAGTTCTTTAAAATTTTTGAGTACAACATCATGCCTGCAAAAAGCTTGTCAATAAAAAGGGATGAAAATCAGTTACACTTTTGAGGATGTGATTAAACCTATGTGCCATATGGCACCGTGTGGCCTAGCGGTCACTGAAGTGGGGAAAACCTTGGAGACAAAAAACGCTAGGTGATTTCTTCCCATCTCCCTAAACTTTGGTGGGAAGAATTACCAGTGCCTGCGATGGTGGGAGATAGCAGGTACCACTTCTATGTATCATAACAAAGTTATTTACGTGCTTTCAGGCGTTACTAGTTGCTGACCTGAACTACCGACCGAAAAAAAAAATTGTTGCTGATTCTAAACTAGTTCTGCCTCAATTTTTTGTGTTTACATTTCTCAGGTGTTGTTCTTAGACCTGCCTTTATATATGGGAAGAGGAAGGTTGATGGTTTCGAGATCCCTCTAGATTTGATTGGAGAACCTCTTGAGAAAATTTTACGTGCAACAGAAAGCTTCACTAAACCATTGAGCTCGCTGCCAGCATCTGATTTACTTTTAGCCCCTCCTGTTAGCGTGGACGATGTTGCCTATGCAGTGATAAACGCTGTCAAGGATGATGACTGTTTTGGCATTTTTACGATTGACCAAATCAAAGAAGCAGCAGCAGGAATTAAGGTGTAAAAGGTTCACATTTAAAAGAGAAATGATATACACCTATTTTGAAGATAAATGATATACATCTTGTAACAAACTCATTTATGTAGAAAATGTATCTATTGCTTATGCTATGCAGAGCAGTGTAAAGTACAGATAATGCACATATTGGACGTTTTGATGCCAAAATAGCCACTTAGCATTACCTTGATTTCATCCCTATGATCCTATTTCACTTTCTTTTCTTTTGTATTCTATAGACTGTAAGAGGAACAAGGCAAAACCATCTTACGCTATCAATAGATGGCTAATCGTGTATTATGGATGGAATCGTGAATCCTTGTCGTCTGTCGAAGTGAGACCTCTTACGGTTACCAAGTGTGTGCATTCCGTTGGTTGTAGTATATCAAATGAACTAGCAGAATTTAACTTTCAATTGTTTAGTTGGTTTGGTTTTTAAGTGTCCGCACCTTGGAATTTGACCTAATTAATCTGCATATGAACATCTTTACTCCTATTGCAAGTGAATATTTAAAATCATAAAATCCAATATCACGCTTAACACCCCTTGATTGATGATAAATGTTCTATCACAACACGCCATTCAAAAAAGCAAAATGTCTGCAATTAACAAAGAGATTTTAAAATGGTTTGAGAAAGAAAAAGAAAAAAAGGAAAACAAAATTTTAGCGCAACGCATGTAGGTTAGGCTCATGTCACGACTCCGAATCCTGCCGCGAACCAAAAGTATGGAATTTAAGTGGAGAAGAATAAAGGAGCGGCTCCTATGTCCATCGAGTCTCAAACCGTGAGCCTAGTCCTTGGAGATTTTTCGGTTATAAAGAAAAAAGAAAACATATAACAATGCCTTTATCTGTGCGTTGTACTTGATTGAGATGCAATTTGAACCCAAACAAACTCCTCTTTGTAAGCCACACTTCCATCACACGAGGCTTCACAGGTGTAAACAGCAATAGTAGCCCAGTCAAGAGAATTAACATCATTTTCCACACCAAAATAATAGAGTACCTGTGGTAAAACCTGCAAGCAGCAGACAGGAAGAGCATAAATCAATAGCTAATCCATAACACCTTCTAGGCAACCCACAATTTTTTGGCCACGAGTTTTCCAATACCAAGGACATACAACTAATTTAATTACCAGTTTAAAATGGCCATTAGCTATACTTGCAAGCAGAGCAAAAGCTTCATTTTACCTGAAACTCAAATAACCTACGGCCACCACAATAGCTGCATTTACGAATCTCAGCCTTTGATGGCTGGCCACTTGACATTGGCCATAATGGTTTTGCTCCAGCATCTCTGTAATACCTATTTTCCAAGATAGTGATCGCATCTCAATGGCAAGTCATGTGATCGTAATTCTTAGGGGATAGCAAAGAAGGCAGCAGCGGCAATTTATCTTATCCAAAGTGTTGTCATAAAAATAGCAACAGGAACTTTAATCACCTTAATACTTGCTCAGGGGTACGGGATATCCTCTCCTGGAAAGATGCCCAACTCTTCTTGTCATCTTCCCCCTGTGTAGAAACAATCACGTAAGCTTGAAAATTATCATCCATATATCCATCAATCATTAGAAGAGCCTTACATACCTCAAAGCTGTCTATAAGTGATTCAATTGATTCATCCACTCGGCTTGAAGAAATCAATGAGTTCAGTTCTCCGTTATCATCAGAGATCTTATCTTCACACTCATCAGTAATTGCAATCTCATACTCAGGCCACAGACTATTGCTTGCAACTGATTGAGGATTAAAATCTCCGTGAACTTCGCATGCAGTGACATTTAAAATATACAACATTCTTGCCCTTCTTTTTGTAGTATCATATAAATTAAGATAGATTTATGAACATCACATCTATTACCATTACCTTCTTGCATCTCCCCAACAGTCCAATTATTGCTAGATTCAGATGCTTCCAATGGTAAACAGCGTCTTTTATGACCTGATTTCCAATGAACAGCCTGCAAATTGGATTCATTTTAGGAATATTCTCAGCCTGACAAAGAGGAGGAAAGGAAGCATAGCTAACCTGGTGTTTCTCAGAGCAGTAATGTGCTCTTCTGCAACCACCACAAACTTTATCTCCTTTCCAGGTACCACACCAACCACAAAGAACAGCTGAAAAATGCAAGACAAGATGTATGTGTTAGTAATATTTTTGGGAGATCAATTAATATTGGAGTAAAAAGAAAAGGAAAGGTCTATTCCAAATACTTTTTTGAAATCAATTGTCAACTTCAGTCATTACCTCCAGCTCTAGAAGGTTTATCTTTCCCATTGTTTCTTGGGGGCTCACTGGAGTAAAAAGAGTTATTACGCGGCAATTGGCAACGGAAGACCTTGACACTTACAAAAACACATTCAGTGATCAGAGTTAGAAGGAAAAAATACATTACTAGAGTAGTTTATAGCTCACAAAAAGAAAAAAAATTCAATTAGGAAGAAGTACCTCCTGGATGGCTTGACTTGGTTCCTTTTCCACTGCTCGTGTTGGTCTTTAAGGAGACAGGCCATTGATGTGCACATGAAGAGAAGTAAGGTACGATGAAAAGTAGAATCCTTCTCAGTGAGTGGTGCATAAACCTGTAAAATGAGTGAATTTTAACAAAAAGAAAAAAAAAACAATTCAGGTTCCTCCTTCCCCTCTCCCTCGACAAAAACAAAAGAAAGCACAAATAGTAGAAACAAGAGCCGCTGCATAAGTAGATGGAAAAACTAATACACAATTGAAAAGTAGTCAGCCACGGAAAATAAGAACGGAGTGAAAAATATAAAGCCAATTGCTCTTGTCTAAGGAAGTCAGATGTAGGACCTAGCAACAAACTACTAGTGTCAACTCTCAACTTGGCCCGCTTTACTTTATTGTTCTCCTCTACACGGAAAGGAAAGAAACATACCTGAAGCATGAACTGCAAAGGCTCGCCACAGAAATCGCAAAGACATGATCTCCCTGTTGGCAAGTTAACTGGATCCAACCAAGCCTATACTTACAAAAACAAAAGTTACAACTCAATCAACACCGGAAGCGCATAAATATGACAATAGCATAAAGGAATCAACACAAAGAACTTTTCTAAACATACAGGAGAACCCCCAGCTTTGCTTGGAAATAACTCACGTCGCAGTGACCATGAATTATCGGGCTTTTCAAGAACCCCTAATCCCACAGGTTCTTTCTCTTCATCCTCCTCCTCCTCATCATCATAATATGAATTAACTTCTCCACTATCATCAATTTCATCTTCCTCATCAAGAAGAGTAATTTGCAAACTCCTCATGCTTTTTGTAGCATTAATTTCTTCATCCATTTTCGCCTAAACAATGGTCACTGATGATTTAATAAATTAAATGGATCAGAAAAATTTCACAACCCCCACAAAATATAAACAAAACAAAGAGAAACACCTCATGTTATGTTCAAGCATAATACTAAAAATCCACCACTTTACAGAGACGCAATTCGTGTAAAAATGGAAGAACCAACTGGGAAAATAACAAGAAGGAAAACAAGAGAAGTCGAGAACCAGTTCATATAAACATGAAAAAACAAAGAGCAAAAAGTAGCTGAATTAAATACCTGTTCCTTTTTTAACAGACTGCTCAAAGTTGAAAGCTGAAACAGAAAACAGCAAGAGCAGACCAAGAAGAAGGGTTGAAGACATAAACCTCGTTTGAGTTTGGGCTTAAATAGTCGTGGAAATTGGCCCAACAAATAATTGGTAAATTTACTGCCTTTACTTTCTTCAATACATCTATCTATATAGAATAGGAGAAGCAAAAGCACCACATTAAGACAAGTGTCTTAACTACAAAAAGCCAAGTGGCATTGTTAAGACAAATTAAACTACTTTTCTAACTAATTTTTTTTTTTGAATTTTAAATTTGAATTAATTGGTTACACTACTTAATTTATAAATATAAATATCTTATAATTATCAATAAAAAACGAAAAATACAAAAAAATATTCTACTCATTCAAATTGGAGTTTTAAAATTATTTTACAATAAAAAAATAAAAATAACATATACACATAACTAAAATCATAATAAACAAATGAAGAATACTAAAAAAAAATCAAATGATATAGTAAAAATACATCTACTAATTAAATTGCTCATGTAGGAAAAATTAGTTAATAAATAGTACTCATAATTTTATAATGAAAAATATAAAAATATAAAGAAACTATTAGGATATTATACATAAGATAATATATTATATAAAAGATATTTTATTAATTGTTAAAAATATTAGTACGTTTTTTATAAAATAATAAAGGCTTATCTCTTTATACTTTTGATGAATTAAAAATTATAATTTAGGAAAATAAATTATATTATTTGAATTTTCAGTAAAATATAAAATGAAAAAACTAATCACATATTATAGTAGAAAAGAATGTACGAAAAGAGGTGGATAAAGATAATTTATAATATTTATATTTTAAATTAATTAATAAACAAAATAGAAATAAATAACACTCAATAAATTATTGATAAATTTAGATAATTGAAGAATTTTAAACCGTATAACATAAGTATAAAAATATATATTTCCAAAATAAGAAAATATATATATGTATGTTCTACTAGAAGAGAAGTAATATCAAAATATTAAGCCAATTGATAAATTAATAAAAAATCACATTAGTAAATATATAGTATTAAGTACTTGCTAATTTAATAAAGAATAAACAAGGAATAAATAATTTATTTGATTACTATAATGCTTTGTGTCCTTTGATTTTGTATAGATTTTATTATATTTATGTACACTACATTAAATAATAAAATAGTAACTAATATTTATTAAAATATTATAATATATTGGATCATAATTTTATAAGATTAATATTCCGTCAAATTATCCGCGCATCGCGCGGGTTCTAGCACTAGTGTAGGTAACAGAAAGGGAACTAGAGATTATCCTACTACGTTTGTAGTTTCAATTATCATGTCTTTTCATACGACTACTTATATATAAAAATTGCAATCCCTAAAACTAAATGAATTTCTTGCGAGCAATTTATACTTAAAAATGAAAAAGTTATTTTCAAAACAAGAAAATTATGCACATATTATGTGATAAATACTTATCTGCACTCGATATTTATATCAAACTAAATAATCTAACCTTAGTGGTGAAAAATGGATGAAACTCTTCTCCGTTTCTCATCCTCTTCATTTCCCCAAGTTCCTTTATAGTTTTATGACATTAGTTTTGTTATTTATCTGTATGGCTGTAAATAAATAAAAATAATAATCTTTCTGAAAACAGAAACAAAAAGTTAGTAGAAATAAATTCTGAAAATAGTATTTGAACTTCAAAATAAATTTCGAAAACGGTATACGAACAAATCGAGCCCACTGAATACACAGTGTGTCCTTAAGGAAATTATTCCCCTCAAGTACCCGAGGTTCTGGAATATATCCTCCCAGGATAGAACAATATAACTCACCGGAGTGTTGGTACCAAAAACACCGATGAACAGCGAACCACTCGAAGGCTGTAAAACACACTGAAATTTTTGTGCAGAAGAAGATGAAGATTATCAGAAAATTTCGTAAGCAAATATTCTGAGATTTGAAGGAATATTTATAGCCAATTTGGTACTGTTTCTGAAAAGGTTTGCAACCTTTCAGAACAACCATGGCTGTTGGAACAGGTTTGACACTGTTTCAGAACAACCATAGCTGTTGGAAATATTGCGGGAAAATTAAAACGGATTTAAAATAATCCGGGAAAGAAAACGGGCTGAACCGGACCGGGTCGCGGGTCATAGGTTGTCCGGATTGAATTTTTGTTAATTAATTTAATTAATTATTTGAAAAGAATTTGTCCAAAAAGATTAATCAATCAATCGATCTTTGACCAAATCCGAATCCGAATACGAATCCGCAGCCGAAGCCGAAGCCGAGCCGAGCGAGCGACGACGGCGACGGCGCGAGGCTTGCCTTCTTCTTAACTCTTTAAGAGCTAAAAGATGAGCTTCTCTATATATACACAAAGATTTTCTTTCCTTCTACCAATGAGGGACAAAGTGCATTAGTGAAATGAAATCAGTCAAAATTTTACTTCCCTCCATTTCTTTTTCCACCATTTTCCATTCACACCTCTTTTGTTATTAATAAATACTAACAAAACCCAACAATCCCCCATATAAATGGGAAATGACTATAAACTTAAAGGAATGCACAGACGTGTGTGTGTTTTACATGCAAGAATTAATTGCATCTGGATAAGTAGGTTTCCCTTTGAACTTTCCGTAGTGAACTTATATCGGATATACTCGGTCAATCGGTAGATTTGATATCTTTGAACCGTCGAGCTTTGTTGTATACCTAGACAACATAAGTCACACAATCAATCCTTAACCATCTATGGTTCTCACGGTTGTGTTCGTTTCAGCCATGAACACCGCCTGGTTTCATGAGTGCTTAGAGAATGGGCCTTTACTTTCATTCTCCTTGAAGCGGCTTACACTTCACACTCACATAGGTGATTCCTAAACGTGTAATCCTAAAGACACACTATCTGGTCATATCCTGCCAGACTTAGCAAATCATTAAAAAGCTTTAAGCTTTATTGACTCATCAAAAAGCCTTAATGCTTTACCTCGGTTTTTTGAACATTGTCTTCATCACGAGAATGGGTTGAGTATTTGACAATGTTGAACCGTCATTCATAACTTTGTTTGATCTCTTTGAACCTAGCTCTTGAGATCTCCAGTCTGCTAGGTAGAGTTACCGCCATGATGACTTGTCCTAGGCCTTTAACCCCATTCCCTTTGATGATCTTTCAACTGCCTCTCTAGATAGGCCTTTTGTAAGTGGATCCGACACGTTATCTCTTGACTTTACGTAGTCAATTGTGATAACACCACTAGAGAGTAGTTCTCTAACGGTATTCTGTCTCCGTCGAATATGACAAGATTTTCCGTTATACATAACGCTCCCTGCCCTACCTATTGCCGCTTGACTATCACAATGTATACAAATAGGTGCCAAAGGTTTGGGCCAAAATGGAATATCTTCCAAGAAATTCCAGAGCCATTCAGCTTCTTCACCGGCCTTATCTAAAGCTATGAATTCAGATTCCATTGTAGAACGGGCGATGCATGTTTGTTTGGATGATTTCCAAGACACTGCTCCACTCCCAATTGTGAAAACATATTGACTCGTGGATTTAACTTCAGACGATCCGGTGATCCAATTTGCATCACTATATCCCTCGATCACGGAAGGATATTTGTTATAATGCAAAGCATAATTTTGGGTATGTTTCAGATACCCCAAAACTCGTTTCATTGCCATCCAATGTATTTGATTGGGATTACTTGTAAACCGACTCAGTTTACTAATAGCACATGCTATATCTGGTCGCGTACATTTCATGATATACATCAAACTTCCCAATACTCTTGCATAGTCCAGTTGTGAGTCACTTTCACCTTCATTCTTTTGAAGTGCATAACTCACGTCAATTGGAGTCTTAGCAATTTTGAAATCCAAATAGTTGAACTTGTCAAGTACCTTTTCAATATAGTGAGATTGTGATAATGCTAGACCTTGTGGAGTCTTGTGAATTCTGATTCCTAAGATCACATCAGCAACTCCTAAGTCTTTCATGTCGAATTTGCTAGCCAACATGCGCTTTGTAGCATTTATATCTGCCATACTTTTGCTTATTATCAACAAGTCATCAACATATAAACAAACAATGACTTCATGACCTGGAGTATTTTTAATATAAACTCATTTGTCACGCTCGTTGATTTTAAATCCATTTGCCAACATTGTTTGGTCAAAATTTGCATGCCATTGTTTGGGTGCTTGTTTAAGTCCATAAAGCGACTTAACAAGTTTGCACACTTTCTTTTCTTTACCAGGAACCACAAAACCCTCAGGTTGTTCCATATAAATCTCTTCCTCCAATTCTCCATTTAGGAAAGCTGTTTTAACATCCATTTGATGGATTTCAAGACCATACACGGCCGCTAGTGCCACTAACACCCTAATAGATGTTATCCTTGTTACTGGCGAGTAAGTGTCAAAGTAATCAAGGCCTTCCTTTTGTCTATAATCTTTAACAACAAGTCTTGCCTTATATTTGTCAATAGTGCCATCAGCTTTAATTTTTCGTTTAAAGATCCATTTCGAACCTAAAGGCTTATTTCCTGCAGGAAGATCAACCAATTCCCGTGTATAGTTATCCAAAATTGATTGAATCTCACTATTGACTGCCTCTTTCCAAAATGCTGGATCAGAAGATAACATAGCTGCTTTAAAAGTTTAAGGCTCATTTTCAAGCAAGAATGTCACAAAATCTGGTCCAAAGGAAGTAGATGTTCTTTGACGTTTGCTACGCCTTGGATCTTCTATACTTGGAGAATTTTCCTTTGGTCGAGGTCGTTTAGGTCTTTCAGTTAACGACTCGTATTCAGTTTTATACGGATAGATGCTTTCATAGAATTCAGCATTATCGGATTTATGAACCAAAAACCGACATGCTTTACTGTTTGTCGCATATCCAATAA